GTACCATGCATGCAGCCATAGACAAAATGAAAATGCTGATATTGGTATATGGCAACAAACTTTATCAACGAGCTTGTTTGCTTGCACTTAATTAACTAAATTTAAACAAGATAGCTCTCTCCCACCTATGACTTTCGCTTTCAATCTTATTCTTCATCAAGATTAATTGACTTTTTAATTAAAATAATAATAATAATTTATTTCAATAAGCTAATCCTATATAATTGCTAACCCTTGATAGTGATGGCACTTAGAATAAACATACATGGAGACTGTACTGGCTTCAACGCCAGATTTATTATCACTTAATATAATTTCTTAAAAGTTAATGGGAATAACAATTTATTAATATTACGAGTTAAGCAGATAATATATGGATGAAATAAAATCTAGTATAAAACGTTATTATTATATAAGGAGAAATTGACTAAATGGAGATACATGGGGAAAATAATTTTGCACTGCCATCGGCAGGGTACATGGTTCATTGCAAGTGCCTAAATTTAACGTGGGGGTCATCATCAAAGTAAATGGCTTACCAGAACCAAAATTAAAAGTCAAATAATGTCTTTGGATTTTAACTAATACAACGGGAAGAACGTATTATTCTATCATGTTCGGTGACATTGCACTTGACAATTCCCCCTTATGTTTCAACCAAATTTGAAGTTTTTTTTTTCAGTTTTTGTTATGAAAATAAATTTTAGGTATATGACAATGCGAGAGATAAAAGAAAATAATATCTGATATTTTGAAATGAAATTCAAAGTTATATTTAAGTGAAAAATTATGATTTATTATTGTTGAAGATATAACTGAAATTTATATTCAAACTCGTTTAAAAAAATGAAGAGACGAGAGAGGAAGACAACTGTTCTCTTGGGAACTTCCCTCAACGTTAAGGGTGCATTTAGTTCATAGAATGTAAAATTACTAGTGGGAGTGTAAGATTACTAGGGAATAAGATTACTGGGAATGTTGTATTTTGTGTTTGGTTGGCTTAGCAGAAATGTAAGATTATCATGTTTGGTTAAAAGAATAAAAGATTATTGGAATGTATATTTGACCAAATTGTCCTTATTATATATTTATTTTTTTAACAAGTTGAAAATTATTTATATTTTCTTTAAAAAATTTAAATTCATAAAATGTATATATTTTTTTACAAAATTGAAAATATAAAAAGGTTTAATGAAAGGGTAAATTTTTTTTAACCCCTGAACTTCATATAATTAATTATAGTCTTTTTTTTTGTAAATCTAAAATAGTTTAAGAATAAATTTGTAATTTAACCTTCATAGAATTTTTATTATTCAATGACAGAAGAATTATATTTTTGAAAGAAAAAAATTAAGGACATTTTAGTCCAAAACGTCGGTAATCCAACAATACCTAAGAAAATGGAGATAATGACATTCCCGGTTGTCGCAACCGTCTTTCGGTTGGGCCCGAAATTGGGCTTCGACTTGGATTAAACGAATTGGAGTCGCCACCGATCATTTATTTAAAAATAAATGGGTTGATCGGATACCCTATTTCTTACCTGATCTACGTCTTTCCAAAGATGTGTCGGGTTCGGGAGTCGGTTACGGTTAAGGAAGGATTAGCACCCTTGAACCGTCCTTTCGGTACTACGCACTTTCCAGTTGTCTTTGATTAAGAAAATTGCATTTTAAATTAAAAGGTAAAATAGCGATCCAAAACTTACCTTTGACGGATTTAAATCATGCCTTTTAAAGAAAATCAGAAAATATTAGATGAAAAGTAAGGAATATATGAATAAAATAAATAAACCCAAGCAAGAAGGAAGATAGAATTAGTAAAAAAAGCTAAGATAAATAAATAAATAAGATAATAAATTAATAAAATAAAAACAAACACATAATCAATAAATTAATAAAACAAATTAGAAAAACTAAGCGAAAGTAAAAAAAATACAAATACAAATACAGAAAAAAATGGATAGAATAAAAAATAGTAATAAAATATGAAAGACTAAAAATGATAATATATATAACTATTAAGTAATAATAATAATAAATAGAAAAAAAAACGTCACTCCACCGAAAATAGAAAAAGGGATACGAATTTAAAAAAAAAAGGATACAGATTTGAAAAAAGGATAAAGGTTTGGTCAGCTAAAAGAGGGGGTATGGCCTAAAGGAGTGATAATTCAAAATGTTAGGTTATATATATAATATAATATGTATATAATAATAATAAGATATGGTTTTTTAATACAAAGCAAATGAAAATGATAAAACGTGTATACATATATATTAAGAAACAATAAAATATATGTATATATATAGTTAAAATAAAATAAAACTAGAAAAGCTAATGATTTAAAAAGTTTATATATATTAACGTATATAAAAGAATAGAAATAAAATATAAATAAAAGAAAATAATAGTAATATAAATAAATAAAATATTAAGAAAAATATACATATAAATAAAATAAAACAAATAGATGAAACAATAACAATTAAAACTTAAATACATGGGACTGAATTGAATGAAAAACAGAAGTGTGTATCGATTTTAGGAGAAATTGGGGGCGATAATAGAAGAACTAAAGAATGGAGGACCAAAACTGTGGTTTACCCTATTTAAACGAAAACACGTGGGTCGTATGGCGTTGGGTCGGGTCAGTTGGCTCCACGGGTTGGTTAAATGGGAATTATAAAAGTTAATTAAATTTTTTAGAAGGCTTCATTTCTTCTTCTCTCTCGCGAAGAGCTTCCCCGTCCCTTTGAAAACACTCTCAAGTGTTCATCAACCAGATGAACAACGGCCGTGGATTCCAGAATTCGACCGCCTTGTCTTGTCGGCGCCGCCGTCCACCGGAAGTGGAAAGGAAGAAGTTTCCATTTTTCTAAAAGATCTCCCCCCCATGTTCTGAAAATCCAGGTGGGTTCCTTTTTTTTTAAATCGCCTCGGGGAGCCGTGGATCTAAGGGAGAAGATATTGGCTTACCCCCTATTTTCATCGGCTAAGAACCATTTTCTGGGTTTTATTCGAATCAAAATCAGTGGAATAACTATGCATGCAAGACGAAAAAAGAAAGGTATGATTTTTGTACCCTTTTATTTCTTCACAAAATGATTACAAAATGCTTGTGTTTACTTCGAATGGCTCCTGATCTCTCTCGATGTTCCCGCGTGAAAGCTGTGTAATTGTCTATCTGTCTCTCGTATGATTTTGTGGGTAATCTCCCTCTGTAAACCCTTTCCCTTATCGTGAGAATTACATGTTTATTTATAATCAAAAAAACTACACTTAGAATCCTATTTTAACTAGAATCCTAATCCTTGTTGTCTTCTCTTGTGATTTGTTATTGCTTTATGCGTGACGTTGGTGAGGTTGAGGAATTCACGGCGCTGAGAAAACCGGATGAGGGAAACGTGGGTGGCGAGGACTCGTGAGGCAAGAATTGCGCGCTAAAGAGGGAAGCTGCTAGGGTTTCTGGAAACCCTAGCTCCAGCTGGGTTGCGTGCGTGGGTTTGGGCTGGTGTAGGCTTGCTGTTGTATTTGGGCACCAATTGGGCCTGAAAAGAAAAAAATATAAATAAATGTATTAGATATAATGGATATATAATATAATTTATAAATAAATCTATATATATAATATAATGACGTTTGAACGACGAAATTTAGTGTCTTCACCGGTAATATACCCAAAAAAATTCACTATTAATAATCTTGCATTACCGAGAATGAGATTCCTGGGCTAATAATGGAATCCACATTCCCCCATCAAAACACCCCCTAAGTGACACTGTTGGATGGGTAGAGAGAAAAAAAGATAGGCTATGCCAGTAGGTTAATTATGTTATTGTGAGATTTGTTGTGTCAGATTATTATTTATTGCTTCGTTCCACTAGTAGACGATGAACTAGTTTTGTTTGAGAATATTTTTATAAACGAGTTTTTCTAACGTAAAGGTATTATTTTGTCAACCTCTTGGTTTAAGTCAATAATCACATTTCAAACGTGAATTTTTAGATAAAATGAGTTGTTCAAGAATACTTTTACGTTCAAACGGAATTTTAGGTAAAAATACTCTCATAAGTTTTCTCAAACGATCCTCTTATCTGGATGAAAAAAAAATGTATTGATAGATTATGGTTGTACTCTAAAGTCGAAGGGTGTTGACTGTTTTATAATTTTGATATTATATCAGATAAAATATTATTAAATCAATTTGATGACATATCAGTAAATCGATAGAATAAAATTATAAAAGCAGTAATACAAAATTCATCTTCATATTTACTTGTTACATCAAGTTCACATTTTCCCCCAAGCTTTAAGTTTTACGGATATGGGTTAGGCTTGCAAAACTTAAAGACCCAAACTTGCTTTGAAATTGGTTTAATGGTGAGATTGTAGGCTCAATTTGAAAGAAGCCCATTTATCTACCGATATTGAATAATGTTATGCTCTCATTGACTATTCTACGACGGCCTCGAAGAAAATGTAGAAGAAAGAAACGGAAGTTGGTTTGGTCGGTGGTTTGATTTTCAGCATCTTTTTTATTTACTTACCCCCCCCCCCAAACAATCACACTGTACAGCTCTTGGAAATCCATTCTCTTTGAAAATAAGGAGTACCCATGTCGTCTCTTGAATATATTTCCTCTGGTAAGATGCTTTATTTCGTTGTTTTGTTCGTCTTTTAGGAGAACATGAAGGTGCAGGTAAGATCTTCGATCGTTTATTTTTCTTAGGATGTTGGATGCCTATTTAGCCGTGAATTTGAAATTCCTAAAGAATTCATGGATTTGATAAATTCATGCTTTATATACTTTCCAAATGCATTTCATTCTTACAATTTTTGTAGGAAATGAAATCCAAATCCAAATTTTCAAATTCATATTCCAAACATAGCAGTAGCAATTTAGCATCCCTCATAAATGAATTATCTTCTAAATTTGCTTTCCTTTTTTTTACTTTATTGTTCATTTAGTTTAACTGTTGGTTCCTGGCAACCCCTTCCCTTTGTTGTGCATTTGCTTCACTGTTTTGCCCTATTCTTATAACAAATTCAGATTACTTGTTGTTGATGGTTACATGGGATACAATGCTGGACAGTTACTTGGCCTCCTAGTACTAGAGACAGTAGAAAAAAAGCTAATATATATGATATCAACGTTCAATAAGATAGATCATAGAGTTATAGTTATTGAAGGCTTGTGAATATTTAACAGAGTAGCGGTTAGGGTGTGATGGTGAATGAATCAATGTTTGGTGCTTTACAGTTAGGGTTCCTCGTCTTCAGACTTGTGTAGCTAGCTTTTTTGGAGAAACAACATCCTTTTAACCAGATGTTGCATCAATATATGGTGATTTACACAAAAATAAATAAAATGTAGCTTAACTGTTGTAACTTTCTGTTTATGTTTCAAAGAAGTATACTTATTACTTATGCATGCGCCAGTGTAGATTATAATAACTCTATTACAATAAATCTCCGTTAGAAATACATAGTTTATCCTTTGAGTAAAACACTCTCTACAGTTTCAATTTATTTGTCATGGGATTTGTGGATGCATCTATAAGTGGTTATTGCACAAAAATGAGGAATCTTTGTTTTGCTGATATTTATTTCCGGGCATTTCTGTGTTGCTAGCAGCAATTCGTGAAAGTGATGGGTTAATCTTGATACAAGGACATCTTCTGCTGGCTGTCTGGTATGGATGCAGGAGGATTCTTGTTAGTTTCGATGGAATACCTAGAACGACCAGGAAAATTCAAGGAACTCAATGAACCTTCTCTTGATGAATGAGCTCTATAGTTGTCAAATTCTTTATTGGTGTAGAAGTGTCTTTTAGTATTTGCATGTTTCTCTGCATCTTCTCTACCCGAATGGAAATTCATGGCAGAACTTGAGAAAGAAAAACCAACTCACTACTTTATGTTTATTCCTTGTTTAGGGACTGACTGGTGCTAGTTAAAATATTGCTAGAAGAGTTTATTCTTGGGATGTTCTCCATTCCTACTTTAGGATTTTCCTAAAATACTGTGTTAAGAAGGATAGTGCGATTCTTCACCTTTTTGCAGAAGGACCTTCAAAAGAATTGCAACAGGAAATTTTATAAGAATCTCAATTTGTCAATTTGTATTTGAGGAGTTGGTTGTTGTGTATTCTTCACTTCTCTATATGGAATAGAATTGAGTACTACGTGTTAAGTGATTTTTGTGTTTCTCACAGGCTTCTCATGGATGCATTGTTTGTTTCTCTTGATGGCTCTCAATACAGGAGTCATTGCGATATTTGAGAAATGATGATGATTACGATGTTAATAATAATAGCTTAACCCTATGCAATACTTAATTTTATGATTCAGTTAGGTGTTTGTGACATTTCTTTATTCTCTGCAAAATTCACACTCACTTTTTACACTTAAATTGAGCGTCCAATCACTTGTCTAAGTTTTTTCAATTCTGGAGTGGATAATGCTGAAGCCGTTGGGTATGGTTAGATTGTAAATATGTAGTTAACGTGACCTATATTATCATAGCTCTTTGGTTTCCTCTAATTTAGTAATGCTAGATACATCAGATACCTTAAATGGACAATGGCTTTTTGTTTCTAGGTCTTTTTAAATATCAAGTAAAGAATAATGAGACACTGAACCTATATCCGTTGAACACGAGCACGAATTGGACACAGATATGAAAGACGGGGCCACGTAGATATAACATTGAGAGCGTTAGTGTTTTACTTGATTTTCCAAAGTTACCCCTTAACTGACTCTCGATATTAGGTGCCTAATTGTTTCTTGACTAGTGGTAGTCGGTGTCCTTTCTACGTGGTGCTGACATTTGTTTAGAAAGATTTTGATTCTCTGTATTACCATTTATGGCTATACATTAAAATGTGTGTTATTGTAGACAAGGCAGACTTTAATTTTTTTTTTAATGAGAATCTCGCCTATGGTAACTTTATTTTCCATTCATGCTCTCTATGGTTTAACTTTCCCAAATGGCTTTTTCGTCATTGTTCAATTTTTGTTAACCACTATGATTTCTTTCTTGGCCTTGAAGGCCTATAAAACGAGACCGTCGTCCTCATTGCAAGGTCTACATTAGTTTTCTAGTCTCTCTCTCTCTCTCTTGAAAGTAGCTGAGTTTTCTGTCTTTGTCAGGCTCTACCATGAATTTTTGTTCAGGTAGTGAAGATGCGGAGAATCATGTAAGTAGTAAAACATGCTTCTATTGCTATAAAGAGTTCGACAACTATAGATCTCTGGGTTTCCATCTTAGGATTCATCAGGATAACCCGTCTTTGAGGGGCTCAAATTTTCCCAGTCGTCCAACTGATTCTGTTGACATATATAGGAACCCTCATGTTTCCCTACCGAACAGCCTACAGAACTCGGCTGGTGCGAACAACCCGATTCCAATCGCTCAAGCTCCACCTCAATTCGACTACAGTTCAATGCTCCGCTTGAATGAAGCAGGCCAGGTTGGCAGGAATAGAACCACTGGTGGTAATTACAGAGTCCTTCAAACCCAGAATGCTGTAGCTTCATCCAGTAACAGTTCGGCTTTGAGAGCATTTGTTCCTGCTGATGCCAGTGCAGCCAGTTCTTCTGCTGTATATGCCCCATTTGGCAGTTTTGTAACCACTGGCCTTGCTTCAGATTCTTGGTCATTTATTGGCTCGAATGGAATTTATCAGTTTGATACTGATGAATTTCAGATTAGCCAGGATGGTCTGTCACCCACATCTCGAGATGCCTTGGAGATAAGTCAAGGTTATAGTCTTTGTAAGCTTCCAAATCTCACATTTCCTGTAACAATCCTGACTTCGGTTGCTTTTTTGTACCTTTCGCCAGGTCTTTCTCCATTCTCAGGCACGGAATATGTTGGCCAATCTGAGAGAAGCTTGTCGAGTGGTGAAGGAAGCGAGAGTTCCTCTGTATTTGGCAACCTAGTGAACGCTGAAGAATACCCAAGAATTTCCCCCGATGTTGATGTGGAACTGGAGGATCTGCTGCCAGGAGAGGCTCCTATCGTCAATTTTTTTGAACCGACATCTGCTTCAGAAACTGGTGTTGGCGCTGAAGAGGAAGAAGGGGCCGCTGATTTGGATCTGTCGCTGCATCTTTAGAGTCACGTTGCCTTCACCACCCCAGACAAAGTGTGCTTCTGAAACTCGCCTTGATGCTTTAATTTTTAATGTTGCTGTGCACTGATCTACAAAGTGAATGTTCAGTTTGTTTTAAACCAATGTTATGAGAAGTCACTTATTATGAACTCTCTTGTGGACTGCGGTGTTTGTCAACATAATTTGGAGTTTGAAAACTGGGAACTGTCTTCCTGTGGCTGGTTTTACAGAATCATATATACGTAAGTTAGGGGAAGTTGAAGGATTGTTTTGGACTTGGCTCTGAAAGTAGATGCAGGGAAACAATGCTTGGGTTTATTAGGCATTGCCACCTTCAGTTTTTCTCTACTGTATGTTATTGTTTGGAGAATGCTTCTTTTACATTGTGATCAGGCCATGGCAATGGGACATATTAGGCTCTGCTGTCATCAAAATTTTCTTTGCATATGGGTTTAGGGGTTGATAACGGTTCGGTTCATATTACTATTGTTGAAAAAATGTGTTTTTCTTGAACCCGGATCGAAATTGATAAATGTTTTCTTATTTTAATACAAGTTTCAAAACTAACATATATTGTATCACAACAAATTATAGACAAGAAAATCATTTGAAAGAAAGGAGAGAAATGTAGAGAAACTATCGTTTATAAGATTAGATAAACAAAGGGTAAAATACAAGTTTAGTACCAAAACTATCAGTTTTAATCCATTTTAGAACTTAAACTTCTAACTTTTACAAATCATATATAATGTTTAGTTTTTTTTTATTATTTTAGTGTCTTGTCGTTAAAACTTAATAGATGGACTCGCTGACCATCGCGTCTATAATCGTCGATCGTCGCATTTATTGGCCGATGAAGCCCAAACTTTTCAACCGACACCTTTTTTGCCCCCCTGAACATGATTTTGGCCCCTGTTTCACCAAAAATGTCTCATTCTCTCCAAATTGACGATTGACTCTTCGAATTCTTCATCCTTTGATCTCTGACTCCAATCGTCCAATGGGACAAAACTAGACTACGTCGGTCGACTTGTCATTCTCTCGTGGTCCGTCGTTCGAATTGGTCTTCCGTCCACCGGAGTTATGCCCTGTCAGTTCGTCGGTTAAGTTTTTAATGATGATGTATTAAAATGAAACAAAAACTAATCGTTAGGTATGGTTTTGAAAAAAAAAATTAAGTATTAAAATGAACTAAAACTGATAGTTTATATACTAAATGTGTAGTTTACCGTAAATAAAATTATCCAATGACAATTATCCACTTTATCACATTCCCCTAGAAGCGTCCAAAATTTACGTTACTCGCATTGAAAATGCCTCCTAAGACTAAGATCTTACTTAAATACCCGAATTCGAGAGTATCACTCTACTTAAATCATGTGTTTGTCATGTATGAGTTTCAATCTAATTAAATTATGTGTAATTATATAATAAAATTTTGTTTAATTTTTCAGAAATCACTAAGTTTAGTATCAATTAAACATCATTTTACTTTTAAATATTATATATATAAATAATTGTATTTCTAATGTATTTTTTAAATGTACATATTTGATGACATGTGATGTGTTAAGATCAAGTAGAAAAAGAAAGGTAATATTTCCCCAGGCTTTAAGTTTTATGGATATGGGTTGGGCATGCAAAACTTATAGACCCAAACTTGCTTTGAAATTGTGGTAATGGTGGGATTGTAGTCTTAGTTTGACAGAAGCCCATTTATCTACTAATATTTAAGAAATAAAAAGTAAATTGTTTGGCTCGGTCTTTTGATTTTCAACAGCTTTTTTATTACTCCCTCCCCCATCGATCACTCATCAGCGCTGTACGGCTCTGGGCAGTTCGTTTCCTTTGAAAATAAGGAATACCCATGACGTCACTTGAAGAAATTTCCTCTGGTAAGAAGTTTTGTTGTTTTGTTCATCTTTTTGGGGGAACATGAAGGTGCATGGAAAATTTCCGATCACTGATTTTCTTATGTTCTTTTATTTATTTTAGTTATTATTACATATTGTTTCTATTAATGGGAATTGCGAGTTAATGATCTGTAGATGGGAATTTATCAATTTAGCAAGACGAACTTCTAGAATTCTAATTAGTCCTCATGATAAGCTTTTGTTCAATGGGGAACCATCTATGTAGTGAAGTTATGCTGAAAAAATTGCCTACAATTTGCTAATTAGATAGTGTAATTTGTATTCGACTTATCTTATTATGGAGGCCCTATGTCTGTAACTAAAGGGTGAAAGCAACAAGCTATGATTTGTTGAGTTGTTGAAGATAAGTGCTGAATTTCTTAAAGATAATTATGTCTGGTAATAACTAATAAGCTAGAAAACATATATGAATTATGATACACGGTTTGTTCCTTCCTATAGAATGCAAGTTTCGAGTTCTACTATTCTTTTCTTTTTTTGGATAATTCTAGCTACTTCCTTTTCCGAAATTCTAATTCTATCTTTATCATTGTGATAAGTAATTTTAATAATTGCAGGTACTTGCTATGGTCAATTGTGGGTTCTTCTTTTAATGGGACTTCTAATGCGGAGGCCACCCTTATTATGGTAAATAAGTTACAATTGACACTAGAGCAATTAACTTTACTCTTAAATGGATATCTTAAAATTCTACTTTGCCTATTTTGCTTATCGTTTATCTATTTTAACATTTGGTTCCTTCCAACCCCTTCATTTTGTCATGCATTTGCTTCATTGCTTTTCCCTTTTGTTACAAAAGATTCAGCTTACGTGTTCTTCCTGGTTACATGGGATGCAATGCTGGACAGTTACATGGTCCTCTAGGATATGATATCCACATTCAATAAGATAGACCATAGAATTATAGTTATTGAAGAGTGTTCAATATTTAACAGAGTAGTGATTAGGATGTGGGGGTGAATGAATCAATGTTTGGTGCTTTACAGTTAAGATCCTTCAGGCTTGTGCCTATAATTTCTTTTTTTGGAGAAACAACATCCTTTTAACCAGATGTTGCATCAGCTTATGGTGGTTTGCACAAAAACAAATAAAATGTAGCTTAGTTGTAATAACTTCTGTTTTTGTCTTAAAGTAGTTTACTTATTATTAATGCAAGCACCAGTGTAGATTATATATCTCTAGTACAATAAATATCCATTAGAAATACATAGTTTCTCCTTGGAGTAAAACATTCTCTACACTTAAATTTATCTGTCACGGGATTTATAAAGTATTTAAGTGGTTATTGCACAAAAACGAGGAAGTTTTTATTTGTTGATATTTATTTTTGGGCATTTGTGTTGCTAGCAGCCATTTGTGAAAGATATGCTGATATTGGTACAATGAGATCTTCTTTCAGTTGTTTGGTAGGATACAAGAGGGTTCTAATTGATGTTGATGGAATTACTAGGACGACTAGGGAAATTCAAGTCCCTTAATGACCCATTCACCAGATGAATCCTAAGGTGCCCCACATAGAGCTCAATTGTTGTCGAATTCTTTGTTGCAATAGAAGCATGTTTTAGTATTTACATGTTTCTTTGCATCTTCTCTAGCCGAATGAAAATTCATGGTAGAACTTGAGAAAGAAACACGAAACTCGCTACTGCTTTATTTTTATTCCTTGTTTAGATTTGATTGATTTGTGTTAATTAAAATATTGTTATAAGAGTTTATACATGGGAAGTTCTCCATTCCTACTCTTGGATTTTCGTAAAATACATGTTAAGAAGGATAGTCCTATTCTTCACTTTTTTCAGAACTAGGAACTTCACAAGAATTGGGAAAGAAAATTTATAAGAATCTCAATTTGGCAGTTTGTACTTGAGGAGTTGATTATTGTGCATTCTTTACTTCTCTCTCTTGAATGGGATCGAATACTATGGGGTTTTCCTAAAAGAACATGTTAAGTGGTTTTTTTATTTCTCATGGGCTTCTCGTGGATGCATTTGGTATGGACCGCAAATTTAAAATCCTTCAAGTCTTGTGTGCTATTTCATTCTTTGTTTCTTTCATGAATGGCTCTCAATTCAATAGTCATTGCGACACTTGAGAATTGATGATTATTATGATGGTAATAATAATATCTTAACCCTATGCAGTACTTAATTTTATGATTCAGTTAGGTATTTGTGACATTTCTTTATTCTCTGCAAAATTCACACTCACTTTTTACACTTAAATTGAGCGTCAAATCACTAGTCTAATTTTTTTTTAATTCTAGAATCTATAGTGGATAATGCTGAAGCTGTTGGGTATGGTTAGATCATCAATATTTTTTAATTCTAGAATATATAGTGGATAATGCTGAAGCTGTTGGATAATGCTGAATCTATAGCGGTTAATGTGACCTATATAAGGGTGCTTATCGAGCAAGTCGATCGCGAGTTGGGTAGTGCTCGACTCGAGCTCAATAAAAAATTTTGTTGCTTGTTAAGCTCGTTAAAATTTTGCTCGACTCGTGCTCGTTAAAAAAAAACTTGTTGCTCAACTCGTTGCTTGTTAAGCTCGTTACTCATTGCTTGCCTTGTTGCTCGTTAAGTTCACTAAAATTTTACCTTATTTTCTTAACTATAGGTAAAATCTACTAATACAATATATAGCTTAATATAAACACAAATTAATAAATTTAACCGAAAAATATCAAAAGAGTGTATGAAGTAATTTCAAAGTCTAAATTCAACGTAACAATCCACAAATACATTAAAATAATAAATAGTTTGATTTTTGGGTATAGTAAAATATTAATTAATAATTTAGTATTTTGTTGTTGTTTATTAAAAAATTAATAGATTCGTAATTTCTCATCTTTTTTATTATCTATTAGTAAATTAGTAATTTTTTTGAATGAAATATTTTTTAAGATAACTACCAAAAATATAAAAAAAATTAATGAGCTGCTCTTGAACTTATCGAGTCGAGTTGAACTTCGCTCGACTCGACTCATTAAGGTCTCGAACCAAACTTGAGTTCAAGTCAAGTTTTTACCAAGCTTTGACCAAGTCGAGTTCGAGCTGCTCATGAGCCACTCAACTCATTAAGCACCCCTAGAACTATATTATCCTAGCTCTTTGGTTTCCTCTAATTTAGTAATGCTGGATACATCAGATACCTTAAATGGTCAATTGCTTTTTTTACTAGGTCTTTCTAAATATCAAGAAAAGAAAAATGAAAAATTGAACGTATATATGTTGAACACGAGCATGAATTGGACAATGATATGAAAGTCGGGGCCACAGAGATATAACATTGAGAGTGTTAGTGCTTTACCTGATGTTCCAGAGGTACCCCTTAACTGACTCTCGATATTAGGTGCCTAATTGTTTCTTGACCTTGCGGTAGTCGATGTCTTTTCCATGTGTTGTCTTGACATTTGTTTAGCAAGATTTTGATTCTCTGGTTTGCCATTTATGATTATACCCTAAATGTGTGTTATTGTGGACAAGGCGGACTTTATTTTTTTAGCGAGGATCTCGCCTATGGCAACTTTATTTTCCATTCATGCTCTCCATTGCTTAACTTTCTCAAATGGCTTTTTTGTCGTTGTCGTTTACATCAATTGGAGTTAACCACTTTGACTTCTTTCATTGCCTTAAAGGCCTATAAAATGGTAGGAACTATCGTCCTCACTGCAAGGGTTACAATAGTTTTCTAGTGTCTCTCTTAGTTTTGTGTTTCTTTCTTAGACTCTATCATGAATTTCCTTTTGGGCAGAGAAGATGCAGATGGTAAAAAATGTTTCTATTGCAACAAAGTATTTGAAACCATCGAGCTCTAGTTGGCCACCTTAGGATTCATCAGGAGAAATGGATCATCGGTGGACTTGAAGTTTCCTGGCCAACCTAGTAATTCCATCAATGTAAATAGAAACTATCTTGTTCCCCCACCTAACAGCCAGCAGAACTTGGCTGGCGTGAACAACCCTACTTCAAACGCTCGAGCTCTGCTTACAATTGATTTCAGTACATTGTTCCACTTGAATGAAGCAAACCAGGCTGGCAGGAACAGATCCACTGGCGGTAATCCCGGAGTTCCTCGAACTCAGATTTTCACGTCTCCTTGTGTTTTATCTTTACCTTGCAACAATTTGACTCTGAGAGCATTTGTTCCTGCTGGTGTCAGTGCAGCTATGTCTTCTGCTGTATTTGTTCCATCTGGTAGTGTTGTAACCACTGGCCTTCCTACAGTTTCTTCATCATATTTGGTACCAAATGGCATTTTTCAGTTTACTACCGGTGAATTCCAGATTAGCCAGGATGGTCTGCTACCAACCTCTCGAGATGCCTTGAAGAGAACTCAAGGTTATACTCTTGGTAAGCTTCTAAATCCCACCTTGGCTATAACAAATCCTGATCTTGGTCGCTTGTTTGTAACTTTTGCCAGGTCGTCCTCCATTCTCCAGTGCAGGAAAAGGTGGTCAATCAGATAGAAGCTTGTCAACTGGCCAAAGAAGCAAGAGGTCCAGCATAGCTGGCATCACTTTGAATGCCAACGAAAAAACAAGAATTTCCCCCGATGTTCAAGTGGAGCTGGACAATTTTCAGCTTAGAGAGCTTCCTTTTCTCGACAATTTTGTTGAATCAACATCTGCTGCAAAAGCTGATGTCGGTACTGAAGAGGAAGAATGTCCAGCTAATTTAGATCTGTCTCTGCAGCTCTAGTTGAGTTATGTGGTTCACTCTATGATATATAGATCAATAAGGGAATGGCCTCTGTTACCTTCCATCCCTGGAAAAGCGTGCTTTGGAAACTTGTGATGGTGATTCAAGTTTTAATGTTGCTATACATGGTTGATATATCTACAAAGTGCACGATCAGTTGTTCACTTTGTTTTTAACTTATGTTATATGAAGTTACTTGATGCATGTATCACGTGTTAGTGAGAGAAGCTCTAGCTTCTCTCTAACCTAGGTGTTTTTCAAATTTCAAATATCCACGACCCAGGCGTTGTTGAAATTTTTTCTCCCCTCCGACATCTACCCGTTATCCGCCGCCATCGTCCGCCACCCGCCGCAACCATTAGACACCGCGCCGGCCGTCACGTCAGGTGGCTGTTGACCATCAAAACTTCCAGGTTTGTTCATCTCGATGCCACCATCCCGGATCTAGGCATCGTTACGTCACGGTGAGCCTTCAACTCAGTGGATCTTGGACGAGGCCCTTCGACTATCAGCTGTTGGTGACGCAAATTTGTCTCCGACGAAGATCTTTACGCCTTGTTTTTCCGATTCACGCCAGCGTCTCTTCGCCAATACTTCTCCTTTCCACTGGGCTTGCCGTATTCTCGCAAACAAAACAATTTTTTCCTACTTTCAAGATCCGTGGCCTTTTTTTGTGTTTTAGTTTTTGACCGGATATCTACGGAGTTCATCTGTCTTCAGGTTCAAGATTTACCTGTTCATCACCTTCACCCTTCTTTTTTCGCCGGCAGTCACAGCCTCCATCGCAGGGCGCAACCAGGATAGTTACGTCAAGTCTCTGGGTTGTTTAACTTCAACAGTTATTCTTCATGCCGGGTGCTGGAATTATCCCTTCTGTCCAGCAGAGATCGAAGGGCCAAACTCCTTCATCCTTTGCAGGCGTTATTTCTCCGCCATCTCTCTGCCATCTCTCCCTTCTCATTATGTTGAGGTTCGTACTATCTTCATTATAGGTATGCCTGGAGATGTCAAAGAGAGAGAACTGCAGAATCTTCTGAGATGGCTTCCAGGTTTTGAAGATTCTCATTTGGGCTATAAGGGAGAAAAGCCTAAGGGTTTCGCTCTCTTCTCAAATGCAGAATTTGCAGTTGCTGCCAAAGATGCTCTTCAGAAAATGGTTTTTGATTCTAAGTTGAAGTCCATTTTGCACATTGAGATGGCAAAGAAGAATCTTGTTGTTAAAAGAGATATGATTTCTAATTCTGATGCTCTTGTTCCTCCAGTACTGCCATTACCAAATCCAGATTCTCTAGCATCTCCAAGTATTTACGTGCTTGTTAAAACTGGGTGTTGCGACGAAAAGTCTGCAGTTAATGGTGTCCACGACGAAACCAGGGAATTTACCACAAAGGAGTGCAATGGTGATAAGCATGGATGTTACACGTTATTTGTTGAAAATTTACCAGAGAATATCCATTGGAAGAGGTTTGGATCGTTATTTTGTTCACATGGTCGGGTTCTTGATGTTTTTATTCCAAATAAAAGAAATGCAAAAGGAGTTCGCTTTGGTTTCATTCGCTTCACTACAATCGAAGAAGCAAGGAGAGCGACCTCAAAAATGAATGGCTCTTATATCGGCGACAGCAAAATTGGTGTTTCTTTAGCTAAATTCAAACCTCGATACTCCTATTGGAAAATGTCTTCCAAAGGTGTTCTCCACAAGTCCGAGATGGAAGATGATTCGAGGAAGAATCATTATAAAGTTGAAGGTGTTATTGATGAAGAAAACTTCAGGTGTTGAGTAATTGTCTAGTGGGGTGGTGTAAAAACTTCATCAAAATCAGTCATCTCGCTAGACAAATGCATGCGAAGGGCCTTACTGGCTTCTCCTTAATGAGAGCTGCTAGAAATGCGGTATTATTGATTTTCGAAGACTCTGCTTCATTGAGAAGTGTGAAGAACGTTAAATCAAAGACTCTCGCAGAGTGGTTCTCCATAGTGGAAGCTTGGTCAGAGAGTTTGGTATTGGAGTGTCGCCGAGTATGGTTAGTATGCGAGGGTGTTCCAGTTCATGCATGGAATTGGGATACCTTCAAGAACATTGTTGATAGTTGGGGTCAATTACTAGCAATCGATGAAAGCTGTCAGTTACCATCATCCTTTGATCGGACAAAAATTCAAGTCCTCGCAAACGCTGGTGCGAGAATTGATGCGACTTTGGAATTGAAAGTTGGTGACAACTACTTCAAGATCATGGTGCATGAGATAGAGTCTTCATTCAAGCCAAGCTCTTGGGCTCCTGAAGAAGACGAATCTCATTAGATATAGTCTTTCTATTTGTGGTTTGATTTAGTTTATATGGTTGCAGGTGTTGCTTTTCTTTTGTATTATGTTATGTTGCGTTGTTTAAATCCTATTGTTGGAGGTGTAACTAGTAACAAGGTGATTCGACTGTGACTTTGGTTGAGGTTATATGAGGTTAAGGTGGTTGTTGTAATGGCGTATATCACCATAGGAGGATATTACGTGTAACCTTTTGTATTGGGTATTATTAATAAACTTTGAGGTACTCTTTTCTTCCTTCC